CCCCCCACTGCCTTACCTGCGCCAGGTCGGGTGGGTTTTCCAGGGACCGGGTGGGGGGTTTGATGTCCTCAAAGACGGGGGGGTCTTCGCCGGGTTCCCCCGACATGGTGACGGGCTTCAGGGGGGTGAACGCCGAGGCGTCCTCGGGGAGCGGGGTGCGCAGCACCAACCCGCTGCTCATTCCTCCCGCGCCCCTCGCGCCCGCTCCCCCCGGGGAGGGGAAACCCACCTTATTTAAAAATAATATATTAAAAAAAAAAAAAAAGAAAAGGAAGGGAAAAGGGCACCAAAAAGAAAAAAAAAAAACCGCAGAGAAGAGCCGGAGCGAGTCGCTAATCCCGGGAGGCCAGGTGCCGGGTCGCGGGAAGGCTTTACCTGGGCTGCGGGAGGAGGAACGCCAACCTGGAAGCCAACCTGGACGCGGCGGCGAGGCCGTGCCGAGCCAATCAGGCTCCCGCCGACAGCCCCACCGGCAGCTCCACCGGGCCACCGGCACATAAAAGGCGGTGGCCAGGGAGCTTCGCCCTCAGCCACGGCCCCACAGAGGGACACGGTCCCACCAGTGGCCACCCCGACCCCAGACCCTCCTGCGGGGCTGGAGCCCACCTGCCAGGTTGGGGAAGGGCCAAAACAACCCGCAGCTGGGGGAACTCTCCCCCAAATCGAGCCCCCCGCACCAAAAACAGGGGTTTATTTCAGTTTTTAAAAGCAATGGCTTTTTTGGTTTTTTTTTTTTTTTAATGAGAAAACGCCGCTTTCCGGTGAATGGTTGATTTTTGCACGAAAAACTAATTTTTAGAGACGAGGAGATTGATTCCTGCTTGCTCGCACTTCTCGCTCCCGGGGGAGAAAAAGAGAAGGATCACAAATAAATACACTAAGTGAGGGCAAAAAGGGATAAACTTTGGGAAAAAAAAAAAAAAAAAAAAACCAAAATACAACCCAAAAAAAACCCCACACCAAACACAACAACCAACAACAAAGGCAAAGTTTAGAAGGTGCAGATGGGAGGGCACAGCACTTCCCAGCTTGGCTCCTACGGACAAAGCAAGAAACCAAGTTTGGGTTTCTTTTTTTGAGAAGTAGGGCAGGGAAAGGAGTGTAAAAAGCCAGAGCAACAAGGGAATAAAAATCACCTTTATGGAAGGAAAAAAAAAAAAAAAAAAAAAAAAAACACAT